GTGGATTTTTATGCAAATTTATATTTTTGAGAATATAGCAAAGAAAGTAGAACTTTGGTAAAACATTATTTCACCTACCAGGTATTATAAAAAGCACTATAATTTCGATATTTTGTATATTTTTTCATAATACGTGCATTGTGTGCAATTTTATACCTTTAAATTTCCTATAAATGCATAAAAATCCGCAGTCTAATCATAACAAAAATTGTATTCAATTTTTAAATTGTCATTACTTGCAACATTATAATGTTACATTAATTATTTATTTATGTATCAAACTTAACATAGTTATAATGTTTCACTTGTAACAGTGAAAAAATAAAAATTATCACCATAAATATTTTCCAATAAATATTAATTGTATGTTAATTTTTCCTTTTTATATAAGATATAATTTTCAAATATTATTTGTGTCATGTTATGATAAAAATTATCATATATGTCGCTGATTATAGAAATCACACCTAAGGTTAAGCAGATTCACTACAGCAGTTGCCATCAAGTATAGTCCATCTGTAAGAGAAGCAACTCAAGCCAACATTTTCTACTTATAAAATTCTGTATTACAAATCGAATATTTGGTGCACGTTCTAAAATAATTTACAATACTTGTGTAAAATTTAAATAAAAGTTACCTTCAAAAATATGTCTTTCTTACAAGACTTTTTCAAACGTTACATCCCAATTGTAAAAGCAGACGATGAAGAACTGATTGATCCTCAAAAATTACTTCGTGTAAGTAAAAATTGTTATATAATGCAATAATTTGAAATTTAATTTTTCAAGATTTTACATTACAAAATATTTTGTTATTGAAATTATGGTTTTATTCTTTTTTTTTATATAATGATAAGAATTTATAAAATCAAGGAGTATAGTTAATTTTATTTCCAGTATAAATGTTTATTATTATACAGTATATGACATTATTTTTTTAATTTCATTAATGTGCGCTTAATTTTACCAAAATTAAAAGACATAAATTTTATTTCAACTGAATTTATTTATATTTTTACTTTTTCGTGAATATAAATATGTAGAATTGAATAATTTGGAATGCAAATAGCTCCTTT